GGATTAAGTCGATAACCAGGGCTCGGCCTCGCCTTTCCTGAGAGGTCTGTCGCTTTATTCAGGCCCGACACTGGTTCTCTCCCGTCAAGGGTGGTCGGATTAAGTTGACGATCAGGGCTCGGTCTTGCCTCATCTAAGTGATCAGCCGCTTCTTTCAGGCTCTTCTCTTCGAAGCACCGATGGCTCTCATCAGGATTCATGTCGCTTTCGGACCAAGTCGATGATCAGGGCTTCGTCCTACCTCGCCTGAATCGAAATTTCACCTCAGATCGGGATTTTGCTTCGACGAAACTCGTTTTGCTGTATCGTCCCCACAGACGGCGCCAATTGTTGATGCGTGGATTTCGGTCCTCCGGTTCACTACCTCGCATCCACCAAACTTGTTGATCCGGGACTAGTACCTGTAAAATCAAATCGAGCTAAACCGGTGTGACTCTAGTCACACGGGCTCCGATGCTTAAGTTAGCAAGAGAATAACGTAAATGTAGTCAACTCTCTTCCCCCTATACCTCTAAGGTTGGATCAATACTTATAGCGTGAAGTTGTTCCAGAATCTTCCGTAGCTAACCCTAATTCACCGTTGCAGGGCCTGGGCGACATCGTCGATCGAAGACGCGGGATCACTGGCTGGGCCGTGGGCCGAGCCCCGGGTCGGGGCCGGGCACAGGGTCGGGGCCGAGCACCGGGTCGGGGCCGAGCCCTTCGTGGCTCAGTGGGCTTCCCTCTGGTCGCTTTCCTCGTTCTCTGCCCCGACGTTAGGTCATAACGGGCCAGCCTTCCCAATCAGACTTCAACTCCTTGTCTCGTTTCGGGTCATTTTCGTTCTCCATTACAGAAATGATTGAAGTTTTTCTATTTCAAATCGTATTACACCTAATTTCCTGTTACTTTGGGTAGATTATTTGTATATATTCACAATACAAACTTGTGGATCAATTGGACCTTTAATTAATTTACAGCAAGTTGAAACCCGACAAATTTTAGTAAATTTCAAATTAGTAAAAAGTAAATTTTTTTGTTTGGATTCTCAAGGAAAAGAAAGTATTTCTTTTAACATCATGCACTTATAATTATATATAATTCTTCAAAAAAGAAAAAAAAAGCCCAACAACCTTACCCTTCATCTTTCTTTTCCCATATTATTATCATTATATATTAAAAGAAAAAAAGTGTTTATGCCCTATTTACCAATCGAAATCAAATCAATCGGAATACCAATGTTATCCCTTTATACTACCAAAAAAATTTTAGAATCAAAATCAGAATTCTTTTGATGTTGTTTATTAAAACTGTATGGAATTAGATTTAAAACAATTAGTAGTGTACTCTTTTTTCTTTCTAACTAATTACAAGTACATTGTTGTGTTATTTTTTAATTATAATAATAGTAAATTTTAATTTATTTTATTACTATACTATTGGTACTAAATATTTTTTTAGTACAAAATATTTTTTATTATAATAATTTATTTAATGTTAATAAATAATGAATAGTTAAAATAAAATTACATCATAAAATACTTTTTTTATTAGAACCATCATAATTTAATATAAAATATTATTAAATTTTATTATTATAATATTTAGTAATAATGTTATTAAATTTTATTATTATAATATTTTATAATAATGAATTTTATTTTAAAAAATCTATTGATATTGATTAATAATAACAATGTAAAATTTAAAATTAAATATAAATTTATAATATTTTATAATAAAATACGTTAACTATTAAAAGTTGTATAAATTTCTATTAGAAGAAAAATTATTAGTAGTATAAATAAAAAATAAATAATAAAGTATAACACAATCAAATAAAAAGTTATGGCCTCGTTAATACAAAAGGTAAAAATAGAAAAGTAATTACAAGGAATGTATTGGACCCACGAAATAAGGATGAGAATGGATTGATGAAGATATAGGAGAGTGATGAGATTGACACTTTTTAGGAAATGTGAAGGAAAAAATTGTGTATCCCACCATTTGATTTCTATTCGCACAATTTGGTAAACATGTATCCACATTGCCCCTAGATTTAGTTATATATAATATAGTGTGTGATATAATTTTAAAAACATTGGGTGGCCCAGTGGTTTTTTCCTCCTTTTGTTTTTTTTTATTAATTAAGTTTGATTGATACACAGAATCTAGTATTAAATATGATTCTGTAAAAAATTATAAATTGAAGCTACCTCTTAGTCTTATCAATAATTTGATACTATGTTTTTTCATTTGACATACAAGAATATTTTTTTCAACGAAATTTGAAATAAAAATCTATCGAAGGGTAAAATCTGCATCTTAGGAGATGGTAAAGTACAAATTGACACACATTGTCAAGTTTATGTTTACCATGGATATTTTTCCACTATGTTTATATGCATTATTTGTGCCCTGAAGTAAAATCCTAGATCCGCCACCGTAAACACGGGAATGAAAAAATTGATTTGCATTCTAGTAAACATAGCCTTTAAGTCAAGCATGCTTAGTTTGAAAGAATGTGAGTGACATAAAAACATGTCGAAAGACATGCAGAAATACCAAGCTAAAGTTAAACATTCCTTACCAAACATTTATGTTTTTCAAAATCAAACTAGAAACGAGATACAAGAAAYAAAGAAACATGAACATTACCAAAGCAAATCCCGGCAGAACACCAATTCAAGTTACGGATTTGATATTGTACAAATGGTCCATTCCCTACAAAATCAGCAACAACACAAAGAAAAGAACTACTGTTATGTGAAGTACTTATCCATCAGCCACAAGTGCCCTTACAATGACCTCAAAGTTTGCAGGTTCATGAACCAACATATGGCCTGCATCAGGAATCTCATGGTACTTAATCCAACCAAGTTTCTGCGCCACAAAATGGTTGAATTCAATAGGAATCACTCGGTCTGCACTGCCTTGCCACATATGAACGCAGCCCCCTGGAATTTTGCTCAGCTCCATAATCGGATCAAATTCCCATTTCCCGTAAGCAGCCAGAATGTCCCTGTTAACAGATTCACGCTCCCCTTGCTGCTTTATTTTCTTCTGAGAATTTTGTTTTACAGGAATTAGTTAGGTATCGATATATGAATTAAATTTACCTAATTGGATTTGGTGGTGGGTTTATTCATCGTGGTATCAGAACGGTAGATCCTGTGTCCGAACTATTTGTTCTTTCCCCCATTTATAATGATTTCCACTAGTTGGGTTTTGTGCAATTATACAAGCACACACAAGCTAGGGGGAGGTTTATTCAATTTTTTAACATTATTGTTTTAGCAAAGAGACCCCTTTCTCCCCCTCTTCTTTCCCTAAGTCTGGATCAGAACAGACGTTGAAAGTACAAGAATCAAAATAGATGTTTTGAACGAATAGAGATCAAAACGAATCAAAGCCGAAAGTATAAAGGTCAAAATAATATTTAAAGGAGATAGCCAATATGTTAAGGACAACGGTACCTCGAGTACCCATGTAACTCCACAATGGTATGATATTATCCGCTTTAAACATAGCCCTCACGGCTAAGCCTCGTACCAATGGAGATAATTGTCCCTCTCTTACATACTCATGATCATTCCCTTTCCTAGTTAATGTGGGACTTTGTTTCCAATCATCTTATAAACCCAACACAATATATGAATTAAATTTACCCAACTCACTCGCTTAAACTTTTGGGTTGAGTGATGGTTTATTTATCCTTAACATTGTTGTTTTAGCGAACAGACCTTTTCTCCCACCCTTCTTTCTCTAGATCTTGATCAAAACAGACGTTACGAAAGTATAGAGATTAAAATAAACCAAAATTGAAGAAGTACAAGAATCAAAATAGACGTTTTAGAAGAATAGAGACCGAAATGAACCAAAACCAAAAGTATGAGAGCCGAAATAATATTTAAAATGGACTTGATTTATTGCAAAAGAAGATAATAGATACCTGCACATCATCTGGACGTTCCAATAATATCCCTTTCAATAATTCTAAATCTGAATCAGTAAACATTCCCTCATCCACCGTGGATGGGAATTTCTTTCTAGTCCACCAGTGGTACAACCATGGTGTGTAATGAGCAATCCCAAATATCCATTGAAAAGATTGAGGAAGCTTTCTGAAGGATTGTTTTGACAGTGCCGAAGGAACGGAGGGCCACCAGTAGTTCACAAAAGGAACCACTAGTGCAGCTCCTAGGAGTCTGCAAATAAATTAAAAGTTAAGGTGTTGTTGGATAACAATTTTGTTTTTTACATATTTCTTCGTAACACGTTTATTTTTTTAAAACTACTTTAAAATTTGGCTTAGATTTTGAAGAAATGGTTATGAAACGGGGCCGAGTGAGAGCAGAGAAGGAAAAGGAATTGGATATATATTAGGGTGAAAGTGAAGAGAAAGTGCCTGTGGGGGATGTATTTTAGACAACTCCAAATGGGGTATGCTCCCAATGAGCATCCAATTATGTAAAATTTGGGGCCAAGTTGCAGTTTGTCTGCTAATTCTTGGATGTCAAATGCTTCGGTTTTCACTGAGCGGGATGGATGTGGATCGCTCTCTCCATAGCCAGCTCTGTCGTAGAATAGGAAGTAAAGCTTAAGCTCTTCTATGAGTTCCTGAAAGTTACAACTCAACATCTCATCATTCAGTATGTTTAATAAAACAAGGCACAAACGAAAACAAAAGGATTTTAAGGCCCGTCAAGTAACATTTTTGTTTCTTCTTTTTATTTCTCAAAGAAAAATAGAATTACACAGCACTCAATACCCATAGATTATTCAAGAACGACAAAATAACGTTTTTATTAATAAGTCTTTAGTTTGTGTGCCCAGGAAACTAGTAGAATATTAAAACTTAGGTAAGTGGTCACTGTGGCTTGAAATAATTTCCTTTAGACCTTTTATTTTTTCGGTTGGCGACCAGCAATCCAACTTATGATGATTGGGGGATCGAATTCACAACTTTTTTGTTGGAGATATATGCCAGTTATCACTGAGCTACGCTCACGTTGGCTGACTGAAAGGGTATTGTAGCATTAACATGAAAAGAAGATACGAGTAAGGCTAGGTTCAAATTATAAGAGTCCAAAGGTATATTTTATAATTGTAGAATAATAGTTGAACAACGATTTTTTAGCAACGAAAGAGAGAAAAATCACTAAAAGTTTCTTTTTAGCGACGCTTAAAAAAAACGCGGTAAAAGACAAGTCTAGTACGTCCTTGAACTTTTAATTTTATATCTCATACATACTTTTTAGAACCCATAGACCTCGTTATTAGACATTTTTTATTAAAAAATTCAAAGTGTCTATCAAACACAAAATTAAATATTGTATCTAATAGATTTTCAAAATTTCAACTTTGTATTAGATCGCTAAACTTTAAAAAATATTTATTAGATGTGATCAAAAAGTCCAAATAAGAACTAGTTCATACAATGGATAAGCTAAAAAGGAGGAAGAAATTTATGATGGTCAAAGTGGATTTGGAGAAAGCTTATGATAGAGTTACTGGGGAGTTTTTAGAAGAAACTTTGCGGTTGATAGGAATACCATCTAGTCGTAAGAATGTTATTATGGACTGTGTATCCACAGCCTCCATGCAAATCCTTTGGAACGGGGAACTGACTCCCATGTTCAAAATGCGTAGGGGGATTCGTAGGGGTGTCCTTTGTCCCCTTATCTGTTTGTCTTATGCTTAGAACGCCTTACACATTGTATAGCTGATTCTGTAGAGGGTGGAAGGTGGAAGTCTATTAGAGTAGGTTCACATGGGCCAGCAATCTCACATCTAATGTTTGCTGATGATATCTTGCTTTTCGCAGAAGCGTCAATAGAACAAATGGGGGATTTAAGTATTGTGCTAAGGAATTTTTGTGGGGCGTCCGGACAAAAAGTTAATAATTCGAAGTCTGTCATTTATTTCTCAAAAAACGTGCTCCCTAAAGTTCAGCAACAGATTGCTAATATTGGGGGTTTTAGTATTTCTTCGGATGTGGGTAAATGTCTAGGTATTCCTATAGTTCACGGTAGATTTTGCAGTTCGTACCTTCTAAGAATAATTAACAGAGTTAATATGAGGTTGAATAATTGGGCTGCTGCCTCTCTTTCCTTCGTAGGGCGAGCTACTCTAGTACAATCTATCATTCAAGCTATCCCAACTTATGCTATGCATATATTTCGGTTTCCAGGAAATGTCTGTAAGGAAATAGATAAACTGAGTAGAAGTTTTCTGTGGGGTCACACTAGGGAAAGATCTCAGATCCACCTAGTTAATTGGGATAGGATTACTAGACTTAAGAAGGAAGGGGGCCTTAGTTTACATAGAGTTCAAGATTTTAACATAGCTTTGATTGGTAAATTTGCGTGGGGTTTATTAAATCGGCCAAATGATTTGTGGGCCCAACTTCTCATGAATAAATACAAGGACCGATGGAAGGAGGACTGGAGGTTGAAATCTACACCAGGAGATTCTTGGTTATGGTCTTCATTAGTAAAGGCATGGAACGAAATTAAGCAAAGGAATGGAACGAAATTAAGCAATGGCTGGGGTGGGGTATTGGGAATGAGTGTAGTGTTAAATTCTAGACTGATAGGTGGGTTAATGGGAAATGCCTAATAGACAGTATTGGAGAGATGGGGTCTCAGAAACAGATAGGAGACGGCCTATTAGGGACTACATTACTTGGGAGGGGGAGTGGAATTGAGGAGCCTTTATGTTGGAATGATCAGTCAGTCTTCACTACTAGAGATGGCTAGCATTAGACCACCTGATTTAACATTAAATTATCCAGATTTTCCTATTTGGATCGGGTCAAAGAATGGGGAGTATTCAGTTTCGGCTACTTATGCTAATCTTCTTTCCTTAAGGGATACTCGATACAATCTAATCTATGGAAAGCTATCTGGAGTTGGGAAGGTCCTTTTAGGATAGGTTGCTTCCTATGGTTAGTGTCTCATGAAAGACTGTTAACGAATTATGAGCGGTTTAGGAGACATCTTTGTCCATCGGATAAATGTATTCATTGCCCACATCAGGCAGAGACGATTATTCATGTCCTACGAGACTGTAAATTTGCTAGACAGGTTTGGATAGATTTAAATCCAAATAGCTTATCTAATGGCTTTTTTAATGGTAACTTGCAGTTGTGGCTGGAAGCAAATTTGCTGGATTAACCTTCGACCTCCCAATGGAAATCCATCTTTGCAGTAGGATGCTGGCTATTATGGCAGTGGAGAAATAAGGACATCTTTGATCCATTATCCCAAAGAACGGTGGTTCCAAGCACGGTGATTAGAAGGACTGTTGAGAATTTCATGAAGGCTTGGAAGATGGTGAGTACGTTATCAAGGAAACCTCATTGCCACTGGGAAGAAATTAGTTCGAATCCGCCTAAAATTAATTTCTGGAAACTAAATACGGATGGATCGGTACGTGGAAATCCAGGCTTGGATGGAGCGGGAGGAATTATTAGGAATTTCGATGGGAATTGGATAAAAGGCTTCCAACAGAATTTGGATTGCTCGACAGTTATGGTTGTTGAATTATGGGCTATCCTTTCGGGGTTAGAGTTGGCCTGGAATTTGGGTTGTAGAAATCTGTTGGTAGAGTCAGATTCAGAAGTGGCGTGTAATTTGGTGCGGAACAGATCTTAGTCTACAGCTCTTCTTGAACCACTATTGGCCAAAATATTTCAATTATTGGATAGGGAGTGGATGGTTTCGATTCATCGTATATACAGGTAGGCTAATTACTGTACGGATTGATTGGCTAATCACACATGCATCAACCCTCTAGGTTGTCATCTATGTGAAGAGCTCCCTAGGGACCTGCTGCATCTATTAATAGCAGATAGCGTTGGGGTCTCCATGCCCCACTTTGTTACCTTTTAGTTTTTCCGTTTTGGGCTATGTGCCCCTTTGTTCCTCCGAAAAAAAAGTCCAATACCTATACTAGACACATATTGAAAATTTAGGGATCCATATTAAGACTCCTAAAAGTTTAGAGACCTTTTAACTAGACACACCACTCTAAAAGTTCATCGTCCTAAATGAATAAGAGTTTAACATATTTTTTAGCTTAAACATTTTTTTTTGTTGCATTTTTTTAAGTAATTCACCTCTCTAAGTGCTTGAACTATACAAGAGCATTGATCATTTTAAAGTTATTTTTTGGACAATCATCTCTCAAGTGTTCTTCAAAAGGATTTTTAAAACCATTCGATCTTTTCAAAATGTTCCTTTTACATTATTACCAAGCACCGTAACTTTTTTAAAAGAAACTTTTAGTCATCTAAAATTACTTATAAAACTATACTAAACTCACTTTAAATTATTAATTCTTCCAAAAGTGTGGGTAAGAGACATCTTTTTTTCGACTTGAGAATAAATTTTTTTCAAAAGTCATCCCGAACACACCTCGATAAAGATAAAAGGACTATAACAAAGTGTAGCATACTTGAGAGGCAGGAAAGTGCATATCTTTGGAGTCATCATAGCCATGAGAAACAATGATCTTGTATTGAGCCTCTTCCTTAGGAACTCCAACTTCTTTGTAGGCCAAATGCCTCCCATCACTCAGCTTTACTCTTGGGGAACTCACTGCATATGCCTTTGGAGGTGGAGGTTTGAGTCCTTTATAAACCCATCCAACACCAACCGCTGCAAATGCTACTCCTACTCCTATTCCCGTCATCATTATTTCCTGCGCTTGAAAATTCAAAAATCTATTAGACACAATTCTAAAAATTCAATACATATGACTCATATGCTTACTCTCAGCCTTTTAATAAAATAATATAGTTTTTGGTAGGAAAAAACACCACTAATGGAAGGCTTTGTTTGATTTCATTTTGGTTTTAATGTTTCTCAAAATCAGGTTTACTTCACAATTTCTCCCTTGAGTGGATTTTTAGCCAAATTTAAAACATGAAAACAAATTTTTGAAGAACTATTTTGGTCAGTTGGAATTTGACCTGCATAGGTATAAATAATGTTTACAAAGCTTAATTTTTAAAAGTAAAAAATGAAAAACAAAATAGTTATCAAATGAGGYAGAAACATGAAGAAACATGACAAGATACCAACATACGATTACAAATTCCTTTACCAAAGTTTAGTTTGTCAAAATATCACGTATGAATTTCCTCCTCAACTTTATCAGGTATAAACTTCACTTCCGGACCAACAGTCACTCATTTGGGAAACACATGATCAAGAGTAGGAAGAGAGGAAGAGGTCGAAGAAGAAGACGACAACAATGACGAAGAGAGCGCAGAAGAAGAGAAGACGATGACGAAGAGAAGTGAAGAAGATTGAGAGGAAAAGATTGAAACGCACCAAGAAGATGAAGTGAAACTGGCATTGCATGATAACGCACATATATGAGATACTGTGCATTAAATTTGAATATCAACTTGAAACGTAAATCACAATTTACTTCCATTTGTAAAGGTAAAGGGTTGCCAAATTTGTCATTCTTCTCAAATTTGGTGCAAATGGTAACTTTGGGAGTCGTTCCAAATATGGTTCAAATTAATGGGTGACCTCATTCTGATAAAAAGTTAATTATTAGTTAATTTTAATAAAGGTTCACCCAAACATAGCTCAACACAAATTAAGGTACTTAATGATAATGAGTTTGAATTCCTACCTCACACAGTTAATTATAGTAAAAAAAAAATTATTAATTAATCAATTAAAATAATCCATGTAACTATATATCTTATCACTTGGTCATTTAATATGGAGTGACATGTTAATATTTTTGTCTAGATTTCCATGTATCTAATAAAAATATAATGTTATGTGGGAGAGATCAAGTGCGGATGTGGGGAATCGCTTAGCTCCATGTGGTAATACAGATTTTCCCACTAGTACTACAGTAGAACGACCAACATAGGGGCATCATGCACTTGTCAAAAGATGTAGAGTGTGTAGCAGGAAACACACTGGAACACAACGAGAGCAAGGTTCCATATCTAAAATGTCCTCCAACGGCCTTCCAACGGACATATATGAGTGGGGCTCGCACCGTCCCACTCCGAACAACCTCTTTGAATGACACTACTACCTATATAAGACGAGAAATGTCCCATCCACGAGGTAAGTGTAATTCACTGCAAACCTACATTCAAGCTTTCCATATTGTTCTCTATATACCTCATTTTCTAACTGGAGCATCCGAGAATATTTGACAGGCATCTCATTGGTGTCAAGGTCTATTCTTAGAGGAGAGTGCGATCTGATGGCCAGCCAAGTCAGCGAACCGAATTTCAGCATCAACATATATTTATATAGGAAAGATATATCAAAATATTTAGAATAAATATTATATTGACAAAAATAGTCACCCATGCGAATATAAATACTAAATATTAAAGAATTAGGGCTCATAAAGGACGAATTATTTATTAATTAACTCAAATAAATTTATAAACTTCTTGAATTAAATTTTTTTTCTTTAAATATTCATTGGCACAGTAATTTTTGAATATTTTATATCAAGTTTCGGGAATTTGTCATTTTGTTCGACACATGCATCCATGTGATATAAACTATATCATACTAAACTATGGTAATAATTAAGGCGATATTGAACTATATACTGATAGCGTGAGTGACACCAAACTACAATGATATATTAAATAACATTTTACTCAACAAAATATACATAGAAATATAATTATTAAGATCCCTATTGTTTCCAAGTTAGTGATGTTTATTTTGGTCCCATTAGTAGACCCTATAGTTTGTCCTCTCCCCTATAGTAGATGTTTTGATTTATTTTATTGAAGCTGAAAATTTTCTTTCCCAAACACTGCATTTATTGATGTGGAGTTTGCCATTTCTAGATTATATGGAACAAATTAAATTTAACCAAATAGGCGTGTTTATTCTAATGCATCAACTTCTCGTGGTCCTAATCCATTAATATAATATTAACGGACTTTACTGAGAAAGATTACTTTTCTTAAATCTAGAGGTTTTTTTTAGCACAACATATTGGGGAGGGATTTAAACTCACAATCTCTTAGTTGGAGGTATATGTCAATTAGCGTTGAGTTATGTTCGCTTTGGCTCCACTAATGAAACATTTGTTAAAGGTAGGGACTAATTTATTCATAGGTTCTCTTGATACGATTAGGATTAAAATTCTATGTTGTTTTGTTTTAAATTTTTTAGTTCAATAATTATAGGGTGAGGGATCAAATGATCGTTCTTTAAAATGGTAATATAAGTGTCTTATCTATTGTTTTTGGATTGGCTGGTTCGTGTCATTGTTGCTAAATAATCCATCATTGTATGCTTGGTTTTATTTGATTTATCTAACCCTTGACCTTATTTGTTAAACCATATTTTTTGCTATTGTCTTTTTTTTCCCTTCTCTTTTTTAGTACATAATCCTCCCTCACAATTTTTTTAGAAGGAGATAGATGATTTAACTAGTTGAGCTACGCTTCACATATTTGTTTATGCAAAAAATGGAACGAGGCCGGTCAAACCTGGTCAAGATCGGACACGTAAGCCTTAATGCATCGGAACGCTACAGATTGACCTACATAAGATGACAAACTCTTTGACGCTCAAGTCAGTGAAATAGCTCGGACTCAACAGTAAGTTTGGGGAGAAATTCGATAACTAATGTGGAAATGATGCCCTTTATTTATAGGTTAGGGATCCGACAGACCTCTTGACTGACGGTTATTCGTGTCGGGTGGCATATCGGACATATTGGACTCAGCTTGTCGGTCCTAGAGCAAATCGAACCTTAATCATGGGAAAAACGGATAATAAATGACTAAGTAATCCACCTCGAAAGGTTCGAGGTGGACATGTCCTCAAGCATCGCCTACGTGGGTGTCCGTGGCACATCGATTTTCCTCGCCAAACAATATCTTTTGTTATTGTTTTTTCACACTTCTATAACAATTTTGAGGCACTTGTCAATCCCTTTTGTTTTCCACACACTTGTCAATCCCTTTTGTTTAATTTTTTTCCCCTTTATTTTTAACTTTTTTTTCACTCTCTAGAATTGTTGTGCCCTTCTCTCAAATTCCTTTTTTCAGCTAAATTATTTAAACTCTTCTCTCGAACATTTTTAACAATAGTAATTATAAGAAATCACTTTGGTTAAAAATACCTATTCTAAAATCACTCGCACAAACATGCTCTAAAAGATTCTAGTACATTTGCATTATTTAGTATGTGTTTATCATGTTTTTACTCAGAAGACTAAAAGTGTATTTTAAAAATTGGGGGGTCGATTAAATTTTTAAAGCATACCTTTAATTTAATTGATTAAAAGCAATTTTTTTATAATTAAAAGTAGGTTGAAAAATATGGAAAGTAGATAAAAAAGAGCACCTAAAGTGCTTTTAGTTGAAAGCATATGGTAATTAGTAAATGATTCTCACCAATAGCTAAGATTCACTTTGAAGAATTAATGTATGTTCGGTATGCTTTTTAAAGTTCTTATAGAAGACGTACTCAAAGTAATTATTTTTAATTAGTGTTTGATTAAAATTTTAAACTTTCAACCAATTAAAAGCGGTTTTTAAAAATCCTCGATAATCAAAAGTGGTTTGAGAAATTCTACTCCCGAAAAGTTCTTATATGGTAAAATGCTTAACTTAAAAATAAAATTTTCAGCCCATACTTAAAGGAGAAGAAAGACTATACATCTCTATAACTTTGTATTTGAACAAAGATGTAATTTCAATTGTATACACAAAATTGATCCCAACAAAAAAAAAAAAATTGTCCACACAAATCGATAACTAAGATAGGAACACATGTAAAGATACAAGATATTGGGCTAAATAGATGGGCTCTTTCGGGTCAATCTTGACATTGATTTTATAATCAAGAGTTAAGTGGTTGGTATTAAATGTTCGTCCACATATCGATGGATGTTCGTCTACATATCGATGTTTTCATTATATTTATAGATTCGTCATCCATATGAGCACTGAATCGACATTCTCATAGCATCATAAAAAAATTGACAAAAAATATAAAATATCAACAAAATATCAACATAATATTAATATTAATAAAATTTAACTTATTTAAAAAGGGTAAAATATTTTTATTTGTTAATTTAAATATTTGTTAGCATTTTTTTTAACTTTTATAAATTTTCTGGAAAATATGCTGACATGGACATCTTATAGATATTTCCAACAATATTTCTATAAATTGAGATCTAGATATTTCATTGACATCGATATTTAAGATCTTGGATAAAACAAGTCGAAGAATTAATGGGTCATTTGTTTTTTGGGAATTTAGATATCCGACATCTTCAGATGCTCGAAATTTAAGATGTTCGGAAATCAAGATAGACACGTTTATTTTGTAGGAAAATTTATAAGGATATTCGGGAATATTTGGATAGCCACGTTTGTTTTGTAGGATTTATTCGGGGAAATGTTGTAAAGTTCCAAAAATGCCCCTACAAATATTGATATAATATATACATTAATTTAATATAATTTGTAATTAAATTATATTGAAAAACAAATAGAAATGTAGAAAACTAAATACAGAAAATAATATGGAGAAAATTTAAATTCAGAAAATTAAAATGTAGAAAATAAAAACAAAAATAGGTAATTTAAACACAGAAAATATTAATGAAAAAAAAAACATAATAGGGTTAAGGGTAAATGTGGTATTTGATGATTCCTGATCAGAGGGAATCTCAAAAACCATTTTTAAACGATAATCAAAATGACTACAAATGAGGGATTCTCAGATGACTGTCATCTTTGGAGCCTAGTGATTTTAAGATTACCACAATCCAAACAAGGTAATCCAAATGTCCCTGGGATGGGCATCATAGATACCACCAAACAAACACACCTAAAGTTAAATATAATTTGTCAGGATTCAAAATATACAACATAAATTTAATTTGGAGGCAAATTGAGATGTTGATTCTCAAATAAGATCAATATAGCGCTTGATCACATCTTCTTCAAATATAATAACTATCATTATTCAATACCTAAAGCAAACATAGGTCAACTGGTTAATTAAGACACTTATCTCTAACCAAAAAATTCTGAATTCGAATCCACATTGTTATGCAAAAATTTAGCCTCCTGGGATTCCACCAAATTCGCACCAATCTTCTAGAATAAAAAGGATCGTCAAGACCTGCAAAATAGAATAGCACTAAATACCGATTTGGTTCTTGCCACACAGACTCTGATGCTTAAGTCAGGTGTAAGGTGTTGTGAGCATACCTCTATGGTTTGGCTTACCCTTATATTTATATAGGTCGAGTCCTAATCCTTCAGGATTAGCTGAACCCTAATTCTCCTAGGGTTTACATTCGTCGAATCCTTATGCACT